TGCCACTTCTTTTTGTTGTATTGTGTGTGTGTGTGTGAGAGCTGTCTCTTATACACATCTAGATGTGTATAAGAGACAGGTCCACCTCAGTGTGACCAGCACTCAGGACCATCACCCCAACTTGAACCAGACAGCAGTGACAAGCACCAAGGCTGGGCCAACCCCCCAGCCCCAGTGGAAGCGGAAGCGGACGAACCTTGCCATACGGGAACTTCAGACGCCAGGCTCATGCAATCCTCTACAGGCCCAATTCAGAGAGTCTACCCAGCAGGAGTACCTAAGCAAGGGAAGCCGGTGCCCACGGACACATCCTACCGTCCTTCCCCTAACTTACCCAAGGCTGGTAGGTGGAACTCAGACTAGCCGGAGGGACTTATATCCCTACCCTACCCTAGAGCTAAGCCATGTGTTGGTAGACCCCGTCATGTACCTGATAGACCCACGCAGCCCGGTATCATAGTTGTGTGTATGTGTGTGCCCATTAGGCTATGTATGTTGGTATGAGCCCGTAGGCTATGTGTATATATTCACGAGCCATGTCTGTATCTGCCCGAAGGCTATGCGTGCTCTGTGTAGATGTATAGAGAGATGTATGTGCCTGAAGGCCAGATATGTACAGTACTATGTAGAGGGAACTATATGTTCGTTGAAGAGATGACGGGCCAAGGTGGACAAGAGCCCGCCCAAAGTCCCAAGCCAGACCCGAACCCATGATCTATGACATGTGACCTGAAGACTCTACCATTTGAGCAACAATTGCAAACGGCACCTGTGTGTGATATGCCAGACTGGGGAGATCAACAGAACACCCACGAGCAACAGCGGCAAGCAACCCACGCAGTATCAAAACCCGGCATACAACACTGTGGACCTGTCTCTTATACACATCTAGATGTGTATAAGAGACAGGCACCTGTGTGTGATATGCCAGACTGGGGAGATCAACCGAACACCCACGAGCAACAGCGGCAAGCAACCCACGCAGTATCAAAACCCGGCATACAACACTGTGGACAACCCTTGGGTGGTGCGCAGGCAGTGTCTGTAATAGCTTACCATGCGTCAGCCCAAGGGGGTATGTGTCCAGCCGTGCGTCATTCTAATGCCCTGCGGGTGTCCATGAGCAACGCTGCAATTGAGTTTTGAACCCGCACCCTCATACCACAATGCGCATTTCCAACCGGTGCTCTAACCACTGAGCTACATCAACTGGACTGAAATCCAAGATCTCCTGAGTGCCACCCTTTTCAAAAAACAAAGAAAAGGGAAATTTTTGATATGCCCCTGGAAGTCCGATTTAGTTGTGGCATGCCACTCCCACGGCCAACGTACACTGTCGTGCCCCTGGGGCATATAAGCTTTCCTGCGGGCCCCTGTCAGAACTGCGCGCAACGTTCCAGCATACCCCTGTGGCCGTTGGTGGCTCTCGTGGCCATTCCCCTGGCCTTGGGAGGGGAGCTACCAGGGCATAATGGAAATTTGAAACTGGTACCTGTAGGGGCACATTATTTTGAATATATTACAGGCCCAAATGATGCCAGGGGTTTTTCAGAAACTTCAATCGTTGTCAGAAGGGCGCGGCAGGGTAAGCGGGCCGTCAAAGGGGCACGCCGCAACTCAATCGAGTTTTCAGGGGCATATCAAAACTTTTCCCAAAGAGGAAACCTCCCTGTGTAACCATGACGGCGCCTTTTTATAATCACTCACAGATCACAGGGCACGATATTGCCGAGCGCGCGGGCGGGAGAGGGAGAGAGACGCTCAACTTTCGTTGAAGAAAGTCGCCCGCCGTGAGGCGGACAAGCTCCTAGCCTGAGCGCTGAAATCGTCTCGGAGAGCGAGTGGCTCCTCCCCGTGTTTCCCCGTCAAGTAGATCCCATCTGTCTTTTGTGTTTGTATTTCTCCCTCAGGGCAGCAGAATCGTCATCTCGGCGCCAAGTTACGGGTGTGGAACTTCCAACCTCTCACATTCCTCTGTGTTTGTGTGCGTGTGCGAGAGAGAGAGAGAGAGAGAGAGAGAGGCGCGAGAGAGAGAGAGGTGCGTGTGTGTGTGTGTGTGTGTGTGTGTGTGTGTGTGTGTGTGTTTGAGAGAGAGAGAGAGAGAGAGGGGGGGGGGGAAAGATGATTCGGTTTGGGCAAGGGCCGGTGCTGCCGGCGGTGATCATATGCGGATTTATAACCTTCCTGTGCCTGAGAGGAGCGGTGAGAGCATGGTGGTTGCACTTGCACGACTTGACAACGGGAGAGTCGACGTTGGCGGAAGTGTTGGCCGGGATCCAGGTCCCGACCGATCATTCGGAAGAGAAGTTGATCGGAGTACGGGCAAACACGGACGCGGGAAAAGATGTAGAGAAGGAAACGATGGGGCAGGGAGGTAGAGATAAGATGCTGCGCGGGTTGCTCTGGGAATCACCGCGAAATGTTGACGTTCACCAAGTTGAGTACGGAGGAGGAGGAGGAGGACGAGGAGGAGAAGAGGTAGTGGGACGTGTAATACCGAGGAGGGAGCGCGGGAAGAAAGACCTGGAAAATTTCAAGTTTTTGACGACGGACGAACGCGGGAAGGAAACTTTTGGCGGGAAAAGATTCGACGACCGCCATCGACTTGTGTCTATCGCGGTAAAGGGATGATCACCAATGTCTGGGAATACTAGGAACGGCCGCCGGCCGTCGGCCCGTCGGGGGTATAACATGGGCGCCTGTTGCAGAGAGAACAGGGAGGAGGAGAAGGAGGAGGAGGAGGTGGTTGATGGTGGAAAGAGGAGTACGTGACTCTATGAACAGCATCGGTGCATGCGTAGATTCAAGAGCCAACTGCATCGGCAGCAAGCAGGAGCATCGGTTCGATGGCTGAGAAAGGTGGAGGAGGAAGAGGAGGAAGAGGGAGGGGCAGAGAAGGGAGAGGTGAAGGAGGAAGCGATGGAGAGAGAGAGAGAGAGAGAGAGAGAGAGAGAGAGAGAGAGAGAGAGAGAGAGAGAGAGAGAGAGAGAGAGAGAGAGAGAGAGAGGAATAAACTGCTGTGTCTGCGGCTGGCGGGGGCAGTAACGACGGCAAGGGGAAGGAGAAGAGATTGAGAGAATGGTAAGGAGGTGGAGTGATGAATGAAATGCTAATTGCGATATCAGTCGGTCGATAAGAGTGCTGCTCGAGTGATGAGCGCATTGAGCGGGGAGGCGCGCGTGCGCGCGGCGGGACGGCACTGGGAAAAAAAAAGGAGAAAAGGGGAAAGCGAAGGAGGTAGGAAGGGGAGGACGTGGAAGAGGACGGGGAGAATGGTTATACACAACATAGCTTTCCAATTTGGAAAGGGGAGGATTTGATTGCCCGTTTCACAGCTTTTCAATTTGGGAAGGAGTGCATGTCCTTGTCCTAGGAACGAGAGGATCACGAGGAGGCGCTGCTTGTACCATTCCTTTCTCGGTAGTTTTCTTGTGTAAAAGAGGGCTAGGAAGAGGTTTAAGCTGATGGAATAGGAGAGCCGAGAGGTGGAAAGAGATGGTGTGGAGCTGGTGTAGGCTGGGGAAATGGCAGACCACACACACACACACACATACACACACACACACACACACACACACACACACACACACACACACACAGAGAGAGAGAGAGAGAGAGAGAAGAGGAGAAGTGTTCAGCTAGTCGTGTTGTATTCCTGATTATCGGGGTCACAGAATGGTTTGGTTGTTGATTTTGGTCACGAAGATGGGAGATCAAGGATAAAACTAATCCGATTCGCTTCGTTTTGCTTCGTAGCGGCGACGGCGGCTTTTGTCGTCGATCTGCCGCGAAATGAAATCCGACCGTCGACTTGCGTCGGCTTTCACGATCACAACGATGGATGTAACAGCACTCTCACTGAAGTTGGAGGTCATGAGTTGGAATCCTGTTGTAGCATGCTGAATTCTCTCGATGCAGCAGCGGCGGAGGGGGTGGGCGAAGGCAGGGGTGAAGGGGAGATCACCGACGAGTCGCAATGGAAAGAGAACCCGATCCCGACGCTGGATAAAATAACAACCTTTGGACTGCTAGAGGATATGAGTTCGGATCCTGTAGAACGATGAAGAAGATCCGATCGTTAGCGGAAGGATATCCTAATCGCGTATTGGCAGCAGCGATGGCGGCGGCGGCTTCGGTTTCCATCGTCGGTTCGTCGCGGATTGAAACCGAAGCCGTTGGCGGCGAGTTGCGCCGGCGGGGTTGACGATGACAAGGAGGTGCAGCGGTGCCGTCGGCGGCTTTTGTTCGCCGCGTCGCCGCTATCTTCGCTGCCTGCCCGGGAGAGGACTATCGGGATGTACAGACGGGGCGGGACCCGGATCGCAACAAGAATTGTGCTTTGTTCTGTTTGAAGTGCGTCGGCAGAGGAATATCGGGATGTATAGACGGGTCGGGACCGGGATCGCAACGAGAGTTGGGATTTGTTCTGTTTGAAGTGCGTCGGCAGAGGATTATCGGGATGTATAGACGGGTCGGGACCGGATCGCAACGAGACTCGGAGTTGGAATTTGTTCTGTTTGAAGTGCGTCGGCAGAGGATTATCGGGATGTTTAGACGGGTCGGGACCCGGATCGCAACAAGACTCGGAGTTGGAATTTGTTCTGTTCGAAGTGCGTCGGCAGAGGACTATCGGGATGTATAGACGGGTCGGGACCGGGATCGCAACAAGACTCGGAGTTGGAATTTGTTCTGTTTGAAGTGCGTCGGCAGAGGATTATCGGGATGTATAGACGGGTCGGGACCGGGATCGCAATGTTTGAAACGGCCGCCGAACGCGCAGGCCGATGGCCGCAACGGACAATATCATGGAGACCGGTCTTCGGGACCGGGATCGCAGGCCGATGGAGACGGGTTGGAACCGGGATCGCGATGTTGTAACTGCCCTGCCCGCCCACTGACGGGGCGCATAGACCGGTCGTTGTGAACCCGAGTGGTCGAGGTCGTTGCAGGCGGTCGTTGTGCCGCGACCGGCAGGTCCGAAGTTGAAGGTAGGTCTTCGGAAGGGACGTTAGATCAGATGTGCGCTTAATTAACCGAACGTAGGGGCGAAAAAAAAAAAAAAAAGAAGCGGGAGGAAGAAGAAGAAAAGCAAATCAGGGGAGACATGAAGCTCGGTCTCCCAGTCGGCTGACAGAGCGAGCTATTACAGTATTACCTGGGGTAGGAAACAGATTACGCTATTTTCTGCTACCACCGTACTCTGTTTCTTTTGCGAAGAGGGAAAAGCACGAGCCAGGGGGCAGGGGGTTACTGCTTATCAATCATTTTATTTGACTGGTTAAGGGATTGGATTTTTTTTTATTTTATTTTTTTGGAAGGGGGTTGGATTTGATTGGACTATCGAGATGAAAGGAGGAATCATTTGGATTGGATTGAATCAGATCGAAGAAAGAATCGAGTGGATTGTCTAGCATTGCATTGCATTGCATTGGATTCGACCGAAGCATTACGTAATTGGGAATTTTGCATTTCGAATTGATCTTGGATCGAAGAATCAGTTGTAGATTGGATGCAATCCGATCGTATCGAATGAAAGAGTGAAAATTTGGGTATTGTTCGTTATTGGCACGGTGGCACCCGATGATTGGTGGGGTCAGGATCGGGATTGGAATGTGGATGAAAGAGTCCAATTGGATATAATCATCTTGTTGTTCATCAAACCGCTTGTTGTGGATTGGATGGAATCGGATTGTATCGACTGGAAGAGTGAAATTTGGGTATTCAAGTTGTTCGTTACTGGGGTCGGGATCGGGATTGCACTGGATGAAAGAGTCCGAATTTGACGTTGGGATGTGTATTAGATTTTGCATTGAAAGATTCCAACAATTGTGCGATATAATCTTGCTGTTCATTAAGCCGCTAGTTCAACCGAAGCAGAGTGCCAGCTTGTACCGGTATATACGACGCGGTAAGGGCTTTTTTTTTTTTTTTTTTTTTTTGTGGTCGGATTGGCTAAAATTAAGGGCTTTTTTTTCGATCGGGGTCCTGGGCCGATAGCTACGTATAGTAGCTAAAGCAGCAGCCCACGTCGAAGAGGCGCAGTTGCAGACGCTCGCAAGTCGTGGAAGTTGGCTACGTCTAACTTACCGTCTTCACCGAGTAGAACGCCCGGTCATTCCGGCTGCATCTGGACTGAAAGTTGCCCCAAATAATATGCAGCTGTAATGACCGGGCGTTTTATTTGGGTGTCGACGGTAGGCTCGTGTGAACTGGCGGTTCCATTATATTGCGGTGATTGGTTGGGTCACGTTTGGATTTTTTTTTTTTTTCTTTAAAAATTTGGACCATTTCTCGATTTATGCGTGTCATCCTTGCGCAGGGGCCATGCTAATCTTCTCTGTATCGTTCCAATTTTAACGGATGTCTCGAAGGACGGGTTTGGATTTGGATTAGGTCGAAGAGTTGTGTGGATATGGTCGGCAGGCTAAGCCGCACCCCACTTTGAAAAAGGCGCCTGCGCATTTGCAGGCTAGTGAGCCTTGGAAGGTAGCTTGGGCGACGTGGGCTCGTGTGAACTGGTTGAACTGGTTTGTTTAATGGCATCTCGTGATTGGTGGGGTCGGGTTTGGATTTGGATTAGGTCCAAGAGTCATGTGGATATGGATTTGGGTTGGAGCCTGGGTCGGTAGCTAAAGTGGCACAGCCCACTTAACTAACGAGCCTAGCTCAGTGGGCAGTGGGTACACCCATGAACTGTGCAAGTAATCATCCCACGCTCGATTTCGGATCATGATGAACCTGTTTAAAAGAAAAAAGAAAAAAAAAAACAGTCTATCACTGCAATAGAGGCCGGCAGGCCGGCAACAGGGACCGTTGGCGGACAATTGCATGACGCCCAACGTTGCCGGCCAAAGATGTCCGTCGACAGGCCGCCAGGAACAGCAATGGACCAGCTGAGTTTGAAATTTGTCGTCGAGAGAGCTGCCGTCGACGCCCCGATTCTTTCAGATGCTCGACCTGCGAGGGACCTCGGGAGGTCCCTTGGGGAACACGTTGAAATGCCTGTAGCCCGAGGAATCCCCAAGGAATACCCGAGGAAATGTTTTCACATTTGTTTTCCAATTTCTTCCCCGAGGATAAGTGGAACGATGAATTCCTTGGGGATTTACGCGCCCGAAGAGTGTCTAATGAGGCCCCATAGATGAAGGGTGTATAATTCCTAGTTAGGTAGGTAGGTAGGTAGTCGGAGGTTTATTATTATTATAGTCTTTTAAGCCATATTCGGAGTGGGACATATATTGAGAGAATAATATATAGGTTACTTTAATGAAAAAAAAAAAAAGCAAGCAGTAGTATATGTCCCTAGTCTATTATTACTGTTGAATGCAGCATTCTGGATAGATAATTTTTTTTTTTTTTTTTTTTTTTTTTTAAGTCTGCATTYTTTTATGTTTTTGGGAGCAGTTGAAGATTGCATGTTTTCAGACTTTGTGTTTCGTAAGCGATGATGATGACATGCAGATTCTCTGATGGATGCTGTCAATCGTGACTGTATGGGGACCGGAAAGACAGCTAAATGCATTCCTATCTGATGGATACTGTCGTGATGACTTTGCCAGACAGGAAAGACAGCTAATGTATACGTTCTTCATGATTGGAGTGCGTTGTCTTTGGCCCATGGATATGGATGGATGATCGAAACGGATATCGGCGTCCCCCCTCCCCTCCCTTCCCCTCCCCTCCCCTCCCCTCCCCCTCGCCCGCCGAACACAAGCCAGCCTCCTTGGACGCGGCATCTTTTGCGAATGCCCCTACTGGGCCCTGTACAACTTCTCCATATGCCCTTGTACTTTTTGGCTGTTGAACCCCATGTTGGAAACTTAGAATTTGGTTAAATAAGTGCCACAGGCCCGGAACTCCACGCCCGGGCCTATATCAGAAAGTTGCTGATTGCCGGGACAGGGGCATATGCAGAATTTAGGGATATTTTGCAATACCCCTGTGTTTTGGGGGCATCTGACAAAAATGCCCCAATCTTAAGGGGCATTCGAACAATTTTCACATTCTCTCTCTCTCTCTCTCTCTCTCTCTCTCTCTCTCTCTCTCTCTCTCTCTCTCTCTCTCTCTCTCTCTCTCACACACACACACACACACAACACGTGCACACAGAAATGGACTTGTTTGTTTTTCTTTTGTTTGCATTTTTTTTTTTTTTTTCCCTTGCAGAATGTCGTTTGTTTGTTTATTAAACTTTATTTCCTTCTTCTCTCTTTTGTTGTGGGTCTCGCCGCACGGTGCACGAAACGAAAAAAAAAAAACGACTTCGTTTCGTGAACAAGTCGCCACACAGCACCCACACGACCTTTGTCAGAAGACAAGTCGTGAATGCTGTCAGACTCCAAGTCCGCGAGGTTACCAGCTTGCGCTAGTCCTCCCCGCCTGCAGCGCTCACGAACTCGTAGGTCCTCCGCTGGTCGGCTGGGGGAGCTGCGAAATCTCGCGAATGTGCCGCGTTACTCCAACCGAGGTCCGTCCAAAAAATTGGACCGTAAATTGGACCGTAGCGTCCAACAATTTGGACCGTAGCGAAACGAATCCCACACGGCTCTCGCCAGGGCGATCTTGCGAGAGTTTTCGTGTGTGCTGTGGGGCGGTGAGGCGAAAAACGTAGCCAAACGGTGGATCCGGGCTTCGCGAGGCCTCGCGAGTTTGGTGGCGTTTCGTTTCGTTAGTTGTGCCGTCCGGCGAGGCCCTTTATCACATGCCCTTTTTCCAGTACGTCGAGGCGCGGCAAGGATCGGGGTACCGGTTGGCCGAGGGTCAAATTCAATAACAGGGCGAGCTACTGGTGGTTTAAACCACTGGTACCTCGCCCAGCTTGAAAAAGCCGACGCGGCCATTAGCGCGCCACGTCGGGCGGGGTACCCACCAACGTGCGACCGGTAGTCCTAAAAAAACGGGCAAAAAAAAAAAACGATGAAAATGTAAAGCAACAAACGAAAAAGAAACGGG